GTGTACCGTTCATCTGGACCGGGTTTACCGGGTCCGGTTAATCGGTGGAAAATTTTAAACGGCACAAACCCCTATACCCCCCCAACCCAGCCCACCCGGCCCCTTATGAACCGGGCCGGTCCGGTTCCGATTTTAACCGGTCTGGGCCGGTCCGGTTTCGATTTTAACCGGTCTGGGCCGGTCCGGTTCCGGGTCAACCCGGCCCGTTAGCCACCCATAAATGAAAGTAGGCTATTTGTCAGATGCCCAATTAAACTAATTAGAATAATTTTTAAAATATCTAATAATCACAAAAAATGAATTTCATGCATAGAACATAATTTAAAATGGTTATTTAGTATTTTAAAAAACAATTGACTAATTTTCGGTCAAAAATAGTATAAAATTATATGCTTGGGCTATAATTGCAAAGTTATTGCAATTGTAGCCAAACGATGCCAATTTGGCTAATTATGAAATAATTTGGTTTAAATAGGACCATAAATAATAAACTAAATCAATAAATGCTTTTGAAATCATTTGTAATGTCATTTTGTAATTATTTATTGGAAATAAAATGCTGGGTAAATTAATAAAAATATAGAAAAATTATGGAAAAATAGCAATTGCTATTAATGCATGATTTTGAAGGTATATATGCAATTTTAAAATATTTTGGGGAAAAATTGGGTATCAACACTGCACCTCTTCGTCTGAAAGGGATGGTCGCTCGCCTTGCTCATTCGGTGGCAAGCTCTGAGTGTACTCCTCCACATTAATCTTGTAGCGACCCTTTATTTAGAAGATAGAAAATTATTAACTATATAATATTATAAACATTAATTCAAGTTATAGTAGTTATGAAACTTACATATACAGTCTCCGCCCAGTCCTCGACCCATCTAGTTGGTCTGTCGGTGCCTTCTTCTTTCGGATGTGAGTCTCCACGAAGAATTCATCATGAGTCATCTTCCTCCCATACTTTTTTCCCTACAAATATAATAAAATATGTTAACTAAATTAAAATATATAAATATAGTTCGATAAAAATAGATGTAAATATTTTAAGGAATTACCAGTAGTCTCCTCGTAGTCCCCATGCTCCTTGCACCCACAGAGTGCTAGGAGTCACCCTTCTCAGATGCTCGGGCCTTCTTTCCCTGTTCACTCTTCTTCTCGAATTTCTTGGTTGTCCACTGCCTCAGCAACCTTAGCAGATCCTCCCATAAATGTGGTAGAACCCATGAAGGCTTCTTTTATATATGTGTGTATGTGTTCTTTTATATATGTGTGTATGTGTTTTTTTCTCGACTTCGGTCAGTATTTTCATTAAATTAATATTTTAAAAAATTTAAAATTGAATTTCCGATCGAATTCGATCGAAAAAATTTAATTAAAACTTATTTCGGTTGGTAAATATAATATATATATATTCTGTTATATTAAAAAACCAATTGCCTTGGGCGGGAAAGAATAATTGCAAATATATGGACCGATTTCGGTCGATATATTTAAAAAATTTTAATTAAAAATTATTTTGGTAGATAATATGCAAGTATGACTAGGTCTTGGTCAAAGATTGACCAATTTCCGATCGAAATCGGTCGGAATTTTTATATCTTTGTTGTGGGACCACTATTTCTGCTGTCAGAAAAATGTTCTTTGACTTTTGCGACCAATTATTTTTTTTCCGACCGATTTCGATCGGTATTCTGTGGACGGATTTTGCCAGTTTTCTAAAAGTGCTTATTAATTATATCTTCGAGTTTACACAGTTGTCATTACATTTATCCGACTACACGTTGTCAGTATCCTTTCCTCTTAGTTGAATTGGTGAATTTTTAACATCAACTTTTAGTATAAAATTTTCGAGAAAAGTTATTTTATTATATGTAAAATTCAAATGGACAATGTGGGTCCTGATCCTTGTCTATATCCAAGCCTATGGTCGAAGCAGTGTTCAATTTGCTAGATCCTAATTTTGGTATGAATCCACTCGTCCACTTTTATGGTTTCCTTTTTCTAGGTAGGAAATCCGGTTTTAACTCCAATGTAAACTGGAAAAAAAAAAAAAAAAAATCCAATGTAAGCACCCCCAATATGCTGTACTCTTGTTAATAATACACTAAATTTTGGAGTAAATTTCACTTTATTTTGTTGAAGTATGATACTATACTATAAGTAATTGTTTTCTTTCATCTTTCGTACGGGAAGATAGCACATGTACTTAGAAAAGTAAAATTCATGATGAAGTTAAATGAAAGTTTAATTCAAAATTAAGGCTACTTATACTATATTAGTGTCAAAAAGACTACCCTCACAGGAAAAATCTGACCTTAAATAACAATTTACTTAAGTGAAACAGGGTGAAAATTTAAGTGGAAGTTCACATACCTTCATTTTTGTTTGACTTTCTCTTAATCGGGTGCCATCGAAACTATTTATACAATGTTAAACTCTAATTATTTTTTGTAAAAATAAATCAAATTAACATTAACACATCGAAATGACATGTAAAATTGGTAGGAGCAGCAAATGATGAGTAAATTTGGCCAAACTTTAGGGGGTTAAGTAAGTGTTGAGTCAATGAAAAAATAATGATCGAACTCGCGAAAAGAAATTGGGTAAGTTGTTTTCTTTGTTTCTTATTCGCATTAGGTTAAACTAAATTTAAATTCGCGCCAACAAATTTCATATTGAAAAGTAAACCACTATTTATTCATACCCTTAGTTCAAACCTGAAATCTATATCTATATTATATTAAAAGGAGGGTAGTGAAGCACGAGGTTAAGCCAAGTGACAAGTTAAAAAGAATCCACTTGGCAAATTTAAGACAACATTAAAAATTTGGATTATAAAAGGAAACATAATTAATGGAATTCTATATTATATTAAAAGGAGGGCAGTGAAGCACGAGGTTAAGCCAAGTGGCAAGCTAAAAAGAAGTCACTTGGCAATTTAAGACAACATTAAAAATTTGAATTATAAAAAGAAACATAATTAAGAAAGTAGTAGTTTAATAAGAATTGTTTTTTACTTATGATACAAATTTCTATTTATTGTTAAATATAGAATTTAATCTGAAAAATAAATAACATATAGTAGTATAATTTAGTTAACCTGTTTTTGTATAATTATGGTAGGGACAATTTAAATTATGGTAGGGACGAATTAATTAATTAGTTGATCAAGCTTTGTAACTGACCTTATTTTGGTACAATATACATTACTGTAGGTATCTTTAATTAAAATTTTGTGTATAATTCAGGTATGGTAGGTATCCTTTTTTGAAGAAATAATCAATTAAATTTTCGTTTTGTATCTTATAAATTAATTTTAAGTTGAAACAATAATTCTTTATTTAGTAAAAGCTTTGTATCTAACCTTATTTGGATAAAATATACATTACTACAGGTATCTTTAATTAAATTTTGTATATAATTCAGTTATGGTAGGTATCTTTTTTTAGAAAGAATTAATTAAATTTTTGCTTTGTATTTTACATCTATATTATATTAAAGGAAATAGTATTAAAAATGAACAAGAGGACAAAGGAAAAAAAATAAGAAAAATTAAAGCTTGGTGGTTAACAAATTTTAATTAACAAGAAAAAACGAAGGTTGAAGATTCAAAAAAGCACAAAGCTAAAAAAAATGAAGATCTATATCTTTTCTTCACATTGATTTACACATAATTTTTTTTAAAATTAGGATTTCAGATGCCTACGATGATCTTTCTTTAGAAATCTTTACTAAGCAACTTTTATTTAGGTTTGGTTCTCTACATTACTTGGGGTTTAGCTTCCGCACAAACTACTGCAAAATATGGCTCCAAACTATAACTATATATCAGCGAATTATCAATGTCCAAAATGAGTTGGAATTTGAAGGTTCGTGTTGTTAGATTATGGCACGTTCTAGACCGTGAGAAACCAGAAAATCCTAACTCAATTGAATTAATTATTCAAGATGAAAAGGTGCATACTCTTTTACTAGCTATTATTTTTTCATGTCTTTTGAGTTGTGATGTATTTTCTTCAAGTTATGCGCCTTACTAACTTAAATTTCTCTTCAAATTTTTTGTTTTAGGGAGATTGAATTCAAGCAACTATTGGAAGGGCTGTTATGCGTATTTTCAAAACAAAAATATATGAAATGGGATTGTATGTTATGAAAGAACTTTGTGGCTGGACCAAAGAATCTCAAAATTAAGACCAACAAGCATAAATTGAAATTGACGTTTCCTCATAGGACGAGTGTGGATGAAATTAATGATCCACAATTTCGTTTGAATATCTTCAACTTTAGAACTACGCGTAATCTGGAAAATGCACTGCAATATGTCCCTAAGCATTTGCTACAATAATGTTCCCTTAAGCACATGCTTCATATCAAGCAAATTGTATAGCACCATTATTTTTCGTGGAATATTCATATCAAGCAAATTGTATAGTATCATTATTTTTTATGGAACATTCATTAGGAGATGGAATGAAAGTTTTACTGGAGTCTCAAAATGTTTTTAATGTTTGGTTGTAAATATGGTATTAATACTAAGATATTAAACTTTACGGTGTAGATTGTTCTTTTTAATTATCCGCGCATCGTGCTGGTCCTAATACTAGTTATATTAAAAAGAGAGTAGTTTGCAATGTGGTTAAGCCAAGTGGCAAGCTAAAATGAAGCCACTTGGCAATTTTAAGACAACATAAAAAATTTGGATTATAAATGAAAAAATATTTAATGAAAGTAGTAATCCAAGATTTTCTATAGGTATCTTTAATTAAATTTGTGTATAATTCAGTTATGGTAGGTATCCTTTTTTGAGCAAAAATCTTATACACTAATTTTAAGTTGAAATAATAATTCTTTACTTTGTACAAATTTTGTATCTAACCTTATTTGTGAACAATATACATTATTATAGGTACCTTTNGACAGTCTGAACTTCAGAATCGTCAAAGTTCCGGAGAACAGCAGATGATGCATTTAGGGTTGTATTTGGAAAGGAGCATCCTGGTCGGGTTAGATGCTATGGTAGATCGGTGACGACAAGCTCTCTGAAAAAAGATGAAGAAATCACCAAGCTTAAACAAAAGCATGCCAATGAAATAACTTCTCTGAAGGAAGAAATGAAGGAAATGATGAGAGAAGAAATGCGATGTTTTTTTAGTCAAATGGTGAAAAACAACCCTGGACTGGATTTTCATGATATACAAGGGTGTGTTGGATCTAATATTCCTTCACCAATTGATGCAAGTAGTGCACGAGCTATGAGAGGCCAAAATCTACCACATTCTTCTGGCTCAACTCACGCCCCAAGTCTTGAAAAGGTATTTATATTTCCCAATTTCAAAAACTACCTCAATCTTAACTTACAAAATCATGATTTCTAACCAGTATATACTATATATATGTTTCTTCCTAATTTTTAATTTTATTTTGAATGTGTAGGAAAATACGGGTGATGCAATTGGATATGGTGGTCACAAATCAATTTGATTCATTAAAGTGAATGGTGAAGACCTTTTGAACAATTGGGATGTTTATTTTTATTGATTCTATAAATATGAATACATTTGGTTTTGTAGAGGTCTTTGCTAGTGAACTCTTGAACCAACAGTGCTTTATTACTATAGACAGTACACAAAGTATGTTTCTTTGTTGAAATTTATTTTAAGTATATGCATTTGAATTATTTTTATTCTATTACTTATTATCTAATTTAATGCTTGAGATATATATGTGTGTGAGAACAGAATTTGATGCAAACAAATATAGTTTTTTAACCACAAAATTGTGGCTAATATAAGCATTTGAAAAATAATTTTGTAGTGTAGACAAAACTGCCACGCTTAAAAAGGGTGGCCATAGGGATTGTCATGTTGCTCTAGAAGCCACACTTTGTAAGCGTAGCCTTTAACGTGACAAAGATCACGCTTCATAAGTGTAGCCTTATGTCATAAAAGCGTGGCTATATGAGAAAATATAAGTGTGGCCTTTGTACCGTATCGGCCATACTTTTAAAGCGTGGCTTCTAAGGCAACACCTACAAAGCGTGGCCAATAGTCAAAGGTTACGGTATTTTAGGCCACCCCCAAAAACCGTTGCCTAAAGTCGTAAAGTGTTGCCTTTACCCAAACACTACACTTCTTGGCATCTTAGGCCACACTTCTCAGGGGTGGTTGTAGGCCTAAAATGTTGTAGTGTTGATATAACAACTTGGTGAGATTTCATGCACGTGCCGGACAAGCTTACATGATTTACTGTTTGGTTGAGATTAAATGATGAAATCGCCTAAAAGGGCTAAGTCTTGAATTGTATAAAAGGTGTCTATTCGCGTTATTGTGTGAAGTGACATGCTATTTACATGATGTGCATGACGTGTTTTAATTTATAAGATTCACAGATGCTTTCGAATTTATTATTGTGTTCCTTTCTCTTTATTTTCATTAAACACATAAAATTGGACAATTGATTAAGAAAGGGAAATTTGTCTATAAGGTCATGGCTCGAAATAATATACATACCGAAGAGTGCTTGTTGTCTTGTTGTGTGGGAGTGGTACGACAACATTCTTGAATCCTTAGTGCTAGGGGTGTCAATGGATATTTGAAAATCGACTAAACCGACCGAACCGTACCGCACCGAACCGATTTTCAGGTTTCTTTTAAAGAAACCGTAGGTTTTTATATAAATATATAACTGTACCGATAATTAGGGTAGGTTTTTTATTTTATAAAAATAAACCGAAAAAATACCGAACCGTACCGAATAAATTTTATATGTGGAAAAGATATTTATATAGTAAGTTTAAAACTAATAAAGCATTAAATTTTTCATTGGGTCTTGGAATTATGAAAATTGTTATAAGACAACAAGTAATTAAACTCAAAGTAGTAATTCCTAAAATCTATTATGATACTTATACTTAAACTAAGTTATTTCAAGCATCTTTATTAGCAAGACACAAAGTGTTCTAGCGATTATGAGTAGCAAACTACAATATATTGAATATGTTTCCTTTCATACAATTTTGATTTATCTTTTTGAATATTTAATATAAACTTTATTCTTGAGTCCCGGCTTGGTTAATATCTTTCCACTCATGTGATTTATATTTTCTTTGCTTTTACTTGGTTTCTTTTATGTTGCTGTCGAATAATTGATGGATCTATACTCTAGCCATCTTTCATATTTTTTTAATTCATCACCTTTAAACAGTAAAAATGTTTAGAGTTTTGCTAAGTCATGTAAAAGAACATATGTTATTGCATTCTACTTCTACTGGTGAATTTTACATGATATTTAAAAAAATACCGAAAATTAACCGAACCGTAATGATACCGAAGTGAAACCGACATGATTGGGACGGTTTCGAAAAGTCTAATTTTGGTTATACATAATAGAATAACCGAAAAATTGGTATGGTACAAATTTTATAAAATAACCGTCCGAACCGAACCATTGACACCCCTAATACTAACCCATTAATAAAAGCTTTTATATCTATGTAATAATACGAAATAGCCGATAATGTAATAAATTAAAGTAATAAATAGAAAAGTTAATTGAAGCTATATAATTAGTTTCCTTTAATTTTATTTATTTTTGGTTACACTGCATTAGAGATACAAAATAACAGTTGATAATTTTATTAAAATAATATGATTAATATTTTTTTTGTTAATGAGGGTTCTAATACTAGTCTTTAATTAAGGATGAATAAGTATTTATCATCACAACCCTTATTCGTCATTAATGAGACGCGATTCGTGAGGTGGTTATATGGTTGAATTTATTGAGGTGGTATACTCTAACTCGGTAAAAAGAATGGGGAAAAAAAAAGGAAGCTCGCCAACGGCAATTGTATGTATTTATTTTTTTCCTAGTTCGTAGATATACAATGAAGATATCAAAAATGATTTGTTATGCAATAAAATAGCATTACAATCAGAACTATATACTTGTCTTACTTTATTTCAATTATTTAATTTTTATAATTTTGGCCGAAGCTTTCCTTTTCAATGGCTAATAAGTAATAATGTGGCCTATATTTATCCAAATCTTTGGATGAGCTGATTATGGCTATATCTTTTCCGTATGAATACTTATTTCGCCGATAAATGAAGCTTCTAAAAAATTGATGAATACGTATAAAGATACTACAATAATTATTGGGATTATCCTCTAAATTTTTGTCTAAAAGTTTTCCATAGTTGTAAAACTTACCTCAAGCGAATTCCTCTTGCTATTTGTATCATACAGGGCCCGCGTAGTTGGGGATTTGAGTTGAGATTTCCATATATTTCTGAGCAATAATATCTTCCTCTTTCCGCTAAGTTTTTTCAACTTTTTCTAAAGTTTAAGCAACTCTCCACTATCTCCCCCGTTGACCTCCATTTGTTTGAAATTACAATGTTATATTCTACTAGTAATATTATTTTTGCACAGAAATTTCCCCCTTTGGCGAGCATTTGTATCACCGTCCTTCTTCTTCATTTAATTTGCACAGCTTAAAGCAGCGTCTTTTAACTTCCCATGGCTTTATTAACTTCTGGTACTAAGAGAAAGAAATCGTCGTTAGCATGGTCTTGCCTAATACCTTGTCTAATCCTGCTTTCCGCTGCTTTCTTTATAGGAAGCGCCTTCATTGTCACTGAATGTAAACAGGTAATTATTAATTAAGGCACATATTACTCTTCTCTTCATTCACATAACTCTTCAATATATATTCCACGCTACATGCAGTGACTTCTTTTGATTTTGAATTTACTAGACGTTGAGTTAATTTATTGCCTTTCTTCGTACAGAAAATTTTAGGATGGCAATTGATTGAATCCCTCAAAATGACTAAACCTACAATCTGTGAGGTTTGTCTATCAGATCATCTCTTTTGGGTTTAGTTATAGAAAATGTGTAATATGCAAAATATTGTGTTGTTATACTTTTTTGTTTTTATTGTATTATAGGATGAGTGCAGGCCTGAAGGAAGCGAGACACTGCCCAGAGGTATTGTGGCTAAGACCTCTGATTTAGAAATGCATCCGCTTTGGGGTCCCCCCAATAAAAAGGTACTAAGTGTAATTATTGTTTTGGTAAAAGATTTTAATGATGGCCTTAAACTTTAAGAGGCAATGTTCTTTTTCCTTGTAGAAATCAAAATCACCATTGAGTTTACTAGCTATGGCAGTTGGAATAAAGCAGAAACAGAATGTCAATGAAATTGTTAAGAAGGTGAGAGGCAATAATTTATCTGCACTTACACAATTCTCATCCCAGCCTTTGACTAAAACAACCTTTCTCATTTGCAGTTTCCAGAGAGTGATTTTGTCATTATGCTTTTTCATTATGATGGTATCGTGGATGAATGGAAAGATCTAGAATGGAGTAGCACTGCTATTCACATTTCTGCTATTAATCAAACTAAATGGTATCCTAGGTCACACTGGTCTTAATCTTTTAAGACAATGTGTCGGTCAAAAGCATTAGCTGACTCTTTATTCTCTTGTTATCTTAGGTGGTTTGCCAAGAGGTTCTTACACCCAGATATTGTTGCAGAGTATGCTTATATATTCCTGTGGGATGAAGATCTTGGAGTTGAAAATTTCAACGCTGGACGGTAATTATCACTGATGTAGCACTAAACCTATAAAAGATGCAAAATCTATCTTCCAAACTGCATACTACTAGTATAAATTTGTTGCAGTATGACTTCAATGAGCTCTAAAAGGCAATCCCTCTTTTCTATTAGAAGGTAACTAGCATTGATGTTACACTAAAAAATAATCTCCGACCTGGATCTTTACTGCAGATATTTATTGATAGTAAAAGAAGAAGGTCTTCAGATATCACAGCCAGCGATTGATGCAGATGTATCAGAAATTCATCATCAACTTACAGCACGAGAAAAGGGGTCAAGAGTGCATAGGTATTACTCTCTATTCCGAGCCTGCTCAAGGCTGCTTATGATCAGTGACGATTCATCAGTAATAAGTTAATTTTCTTGAAACGCTGTAGAGTGAATATTGCTAACTGTAAAAACTCTTATGGTTGAAATAGGAGGGCAATAAACATAAAGGGTCCGGGAAGGAGGTGCTACGAAGACAGTACTGAACCTCCATGCACTGGGTAAAATTATTACTACCAGTTATAGGCAGAAAGAACTATGGTTCAATTATATCTTTTCTACATCTCTGAATCCAAGATTTCTAAGAAAAAAGTAATGCATATGTAGGTGGGTGGAAATGATGGCTCCTGTTTTCTCAAGGGCATCCTGGCGTTGTGCATGGTACATAATTCAGGTATTGTTTCAGATCTTAGTAAATCTAGTACACTAACTGTACAACTAAATTTCTAGCCTAAGTTTGACCTTCCCTCTGCTTACAGAATGACTTCGTTCATGCATGGGGGGTGGACTTTCAGCTTGGATATTGTGCGCAGGTTTCATATCCCAGCCCCAGCAATTATTTTTCTCTTTAAAGTTATTGTAGAGTCTTCATTTTATCAATTAAGAAAAGTTTACTTTCTTGTTTGATCTGTAACTATTTTTGATAGGGGAACAGAACCACAAACGTTGGGGTTGTTGACTCAGAATATTTGATTCACTATGGTCTTCCGACACTAGGTGGTGCAGAAAATGAGGTATTTTTGGCAAAATTATTAGGATTGAACTTACATTGGACAATTGAATAGGGAATCAAGTTTCTATCTTCTCTGACAACAACAACAAACCCAATATAATCCCACAAGTGAGGTCTGAGGAAGTTTCTATCTCCTCTCCTTTCAGTAAATCCTAACTATTGTCTTTCTATGCAGAAGAGCAGTTTAGCACAAGAGAAAACTCTTAAACAGGAAAGCTTGTCAAATGAAGGGCAAACAGTACGTACCAAAAGTAACTAGCTTTCAACAGTCAACTGCTTGAATAGCATGTAAATTAACTGAAATTTAATTGCAGGGACTGCCGGAATCTCATCCGTCTGATGCAAGAAATGCTGTAAGTTCAATCAACTTCTATGAAAGAACCTCTACTTGATAGCCATTCTGTTGCATTTTCCAGTTTCTTTGAAACATTCATATCTTAGTGTATCTACACCACATACACAATGCAATATGACAATCTTCTAACATTGAATTGCATATTAAGCTAAACACACAACTAATTAGTATCTCCAAGTTCCTTTCCATGTTATGATAAAACCAGAGTCATTTTGCAGGTGCGTAAACAATCTCTTGTTGAATTAGAGCGATTCAAGAATAGATGGAAAAAAGCTGTCAGAGAAGACCAATGTTGGGTCGATCCCTTTCAGCAGCCTGTCAAACAAAAAAGGTGACTGAAGGGTGGCATTGTCAAACTTTAAGACTGAAGATATACAAATTACAGTTATTCCATCTTGAAGTTGAATTTGGAAGGCTGAGATGATTTTTTACGGGCTTCAAGTACTCATGATAACAGAGACACATTGTCAATTTCCATAAGCTCCAATTATGTTTACAAACAAATAGAATAATTCAGACTTCAGAGTTCAGACAGCTAGATTAACTTATGATATACACCGTCTGAAGCAATTACTGAAAATACAACGCCGTCAAGCAGCTTAAATTAAAATCTTACCATTTTCTGGTGTTATCTATGCAGCATGCCAGCATCACAATATCATTAAATTTAAATCATGTTGTACAAATGATGAACGCGCTGAAATATAAATATTAATAGATGGCCTACCCATTTAATCCAGAGATTATGAAAATCACAAAATGCTGCTTCTTTTTCCAACAATTCCAGCAAGGAGTTGACCTAATTCTTCACCACTGTCCTCCTGAACGTGATGTCCCGACTGCATAATCCAAGAGAATAGATACAGTTTTGCTTTATAAACCAAAACCACATTGAAATAGAGGAAAAATAGAAAGAATATCTAGCTTGTTAATATGAATCAACTTCTGATAATCAATGCTCTTTCAAATGACCAGAGTCCCCATTATAATTTAGTGAGGTTCAAAAGGCGTATTCAAGAATATTGATAATTCATTTCCAAAGAGTGCTCTTCATTTGTAACATTATCCTCCACAAGAAAAGAGCCATGAAATATTGTCATTACCATAGGAAGTTCGACCAGCCGATGCTTTGATTCTTTGCAGAAATCTTCTACACCATCAAAGCTTAACCAGCGGTCTCTTTGTCCCCAGCAAACTGTTGTTTGGACCGTCCAGTTATTGTCCATAAGTATTGCTCTTGAGTCCTCAACATAGCCCTGCCGACCAGAGAGCACAAAAGGAGGTATAAGATCAATATATCCTTAAATAACGAGGAAGAGAGATTAAAAGAACTGAACTAGACACATCTTCTGTTATCTACTTTTAAGACTCAATAGGAAGAAGACAATTTTATTGGTTTTCATATTTGTTTCATGGAGTTTCTACTGACAAATAGAACCCCTCAACTATCAAGCACATCGCCTTTACCATTTGGATGGAGAAGTTTGGAGTCAAGTTTGAATTATAACTATCAATTTTATCTCCAACATCAAAGATATCTTTCTGACTTCCTCCGAAATTAGCTTATTTCACATTTGCATGAGCAATGGCAGATCTTGGACAATCAGGCTCTTTGAAATTCACAGTCTAGATTAGACAGAGGGCCCTTAGCCAACTGCCTTGGTTGAAAAAGAACAAAGAAGACAAAAGCAACTATCGTAATCTTCACAGACACTATAATAGGGAGGGAAAGAAGAAAAAGAAAAGAACACCTTTGCTTTCAGAGGCGGGTCGCCTGAAAAGCAGACAAGAGGGAGGAGAAGAAAAGAAAGGACAAACAAAATTCTAGCCAGCTAGCACTGAGCAGAGATACTTTGGGGGGTACTATATCACTTTTCCTATAACCATAGATAATTAAACTTCGGTTGATTGACCTGTGGCAAAGTGCCTGCAAACCAAATAGAAAATTAACATCATGAGCATAAAAGTGCACCTTCAGTTGCTTCTTCATTGCCTTGCTTATTGCATTTAATGCAAATCCTGCAGAACCAGATGTGAGATAAGGTCTTCTGTAAACCATTGCCACATCTTCTTTTATTTGGTAAGGACCACAACTCAGCATTGTTTTATCACTAGCTCTAAGAGGGTCCTGATTGCAAGAGAGTTAAACCAAGAATGAGAGACAACTGGCAGCAGATTTGCAGAGGAACATGCATATGTCGGTAGCAGAACATATGTGAAAATATTTGCATCTACCCTACCTGACAAAATATTTCGCCCAACAAAAAGTTGCTCAGGACTGATAAGGTTGATGGTAGATTGGCATGTTGCATTGTCAGCTTCAGTAAACCAAGAAAATGAATGGTTAGTGAATCCAAACATGTCTGCATTGTCAGCTTCAGTAAACCAAGAGAATGAATTGTTAGTGAATCCGAACATGTCTTCACTCAACTAGTTCGAAGGAGAAAAAGAAGCTGAGGAAAGAACATTGGCTTCATCTAAGTGACATGAATCTGAAGTCATTAAACAGTTTCATCTTTCATATGTTTGAAAAGAGTGTAAATAATGTGGTCCAAGGTCCTAGAATAATTAGAAACGGCATTCAGCCAAGAAGAAACATGATTGGACAGAGAACCAAGAAAACCAAAAAGATATTCTATATCTTGGATTTTCGCTGGCAATATAGTAACCTGCAGAATAATAGAGTCATCAGCAGAATATGACAATTCTATAGTTTGACTGCACATCACCATCACAATTAAGCTATACAGATCCAGAGAAAAAATGTTCAGCAAATAAAAGCATGTACTGGTTACGGTTGACTAATCCTTACTGGTGGATTGAGAAGTATAAGACCATTTAGCTTTTCCTGGTGATTGCTAGCATATTTGATCGCAATTGGTGAAAAGTATCCCTGGAAGAGAATGGCAAAAGGAGAGATTTTCTTCAGATCAGATAACACAAGATAAGTAACACAGAGCAAGTTAAATGCTAACAGTCAAATACAGTAGTGCAAATAGATGAATATGTAGGGAGGCATTTCTGTATCTTGGAGACAGATCAACGGCGCTGCCTCCCACTTAAATAGAGAGGCTTGATTTTGTTTTGAACATTTTTTTCAGATGGAATGGCATGGTGGCCCTATAGAAGAATTTTTCCATATATATATAAACTTACCTGTACTACAAGAGTAACCTTTTTGCTGGTAAGAGCATTGATAATAGATTCCAAGGATGCCACGTACTCTGTCAGACATGAGAAACTGAATGTCAAGGAGTGGAGATTTCTCTATATTGTAATAATCTGTTCATTATTATCATATTCCTAGGTGGATAGATAATATTATTTACCATCCAATGTATAGTCAAATCCGTATCGTGGTTGGGGCTTATCTGAGAATCCAAATCCTGTAAGAAGGAGAAAGTAGAACTATTCATTACCCTAACATAAACATGGATGAGCGTGAACCTCACTACTTTTTATTTGTTTAAAAAAATAGTAGAAAACTGGAATGGAAGATAATATGGCGATACTGTTAAAATTGTAGAGTAGCATTAGAAATAAAAACACATTAAAAGACACTACTTCATCAGTTCATCTAAATGTGGATGTATGAATGCTAGCATTGACAATGGAAACGATTCCAAATAAATTAGGAGGATAATGCAAGAAAGTACAAAAATACTGACCCAGCCAATCAAATGCTATAGCATGATAGTTCTTCTCAAGAATGGGAAGAACTTTGCGGTAAGAGTATGCCTGTAAAGTAGCAGTGCAAGCACAGTTAGCTAACTATCAACCAATTACATGGTAAAGTAACAGGCACAAATTGGTGATATAAACTGATATTAAGTAGCCAAGAACAAGAAGCTGGTCAAGTTAGAAGGAATACAAGCATCATAATCCGAGTTCTCCAAACTAGAAATGTAGAACTTAGATGGAAGTTGGTAATTGGGAATTCATATTGAAAATAATTGGTTCATCATCTGAGCTTGCATTTAGTTTGAATAAAGATTAATTCCATCAAAATGCTGATATGTTTAAAAAATATTCTCATCAAAATAAACTTACAATCTAACTAGGTTTTCCGTTTTCTGAGATTTACTAATTTGAATGGTACTAAGGAAGCGTCCTAACCTGCGAGGGTAATCCGTGGAGTAACACAATAGTAGAATTGTCGGTGCTTCCGCTCTCTACACAAAACCATCTAATGCACAAAATCATATACATAGAGCATTCAATCGGTAATCCTGCAAACAACCCATCCTCAATTTCTGCATTTAAGTTTGCTATATCCCTTAAAATGTCTAACAAACAAACCAATAAACACACAAAAAAATCAACCAGATTCACCTGAAAAGATCAGTTGAGGCCTGTGAACCCCCACCCATTGTAAGTCCAAAAAGAGGATCTTTTGCCTTCTCCCCAGTCCCAGATACAGGATGAGCTTTCACCTGAAATGTCACAAAAAATTACCAAAATTCAGATGGGCTAGAACAATTGCTAGTATAAAAGATAAATGCACTCTGATTTTAATCAGCCATATTCATAGTTATACATGGAAAATGGCAGAAAAAACGCACAAATTTTCCTTTCTTGAACCATTCATCAGCGGGGCTCGGCTCGTCTGAATATTTTCCTGTACAAAATAAGCAGTCTGATCTCACTATTGATCCGTAATTAAACTGAAGATGCCACATCCTTGAAATTAAATTACATTAACAGAAACAAGAACGAATTTTGCAAATTATTCAAATACCAACCTCCGCTAAAAGAAAAGCCATCCCCAACTGAAACAGGAGCATCCAGCAAATATTCCTGAACATTTTCAGAAAATTTACAAAAAATAAACCCAGAAACGTAATTTACTTCAAGAGAAATATTGATCACGAGATATGACAGAAAAGCTATACGTACCTCGTTGTTATCGCTGCTCGATCGGCAACGGAATGGCAAAAGCTTCTTCCTTCCCTGAGCTCCATGATTTTTTGGGAAAGAGAATTGGTGAAGTGGCAGATTAATCCTATCAGGGGGAGAAGAGGGGAGCATGCGGAAGCAGTGACAGTGAAGAGTAGCCATGGAATTCTTGAACAACAAATGTGCTGTGACAGTTATGACCGTTTTGTTTCCGATAATTAGAATAATAATAATACAATTAAAAGATAGGGTGTCTCTGGTTCTCTATCTTTCATTATTTTGGAACACAAAAATTGGTAATACTTTTTTCTCGAAAATGTAACCTTAGATAGTAGATTTCAAACTTGCTCTACTCTTTTTCCTGTAAAAAGGAGCTCAAGACTAATAATCTTTTTTCCCGATTATTATAAACTAAATAAGAATACTAAAGGTTGCACACTTTTGCAATTTAAGAAGTTGAAGATAGTTCTAACTAGATTTGGGTAAAGATTAATTCATTTGACTCTTGAAAGAACAAAAAATTAAAGATCAAAGACGTTACACATGAAAAGAAATTTGTAGATAGTAACTTAAACCATAAGTTATAAGTTAATGATATTGTGTAACGATCCAACAGGTCGCAACATCACGTTCTATGATTTGAGACTTTCCATAGGTTCATTTGAGGTTATGACTTGCGGGTATGGTTGGTTTGGGTTCCGAGAGGATCGGGCAGAATTTGAAGCACGTAGTTCCTTACTTGAAACCTTAAGTTAGGAGAGTTGACTAAAGTCAATATTTTAAGTAAACGGACTTGGAATCAAGATTTAAATTTCTATAGGTTCGTATAATGATTTTAAACTTGTACATATATTCGAATTAGGAGCCAAGGGGCTCGGATTCAATTCGGTACAATTGCATGAAAATTGGAAGTTTAAGGTTTATAAATTAAACTTGAGAATTAATTTTGCATTGTAGTACTTCCTTTCGTGTTTTGAGCCTTTGGATAAGTTCATATAAAGTATTTGGACTTGTTTAGATGGTTTGGAGTGATTCCGGAAGGCTGGGTGAGTTACGGTGCGCTTGTAGCAAGTATTGAAAGATTTAAAGTGTTGAAACATAATTTTTCTGCATTTGACTGATTTTACAAGAAAACTGACTCCAATTTATAAAGAATCTGATGAAGATGCCTCGATACGAGTTGTAACCCTTTGAATTTAGTTTCCAGAAATTCTAACCGTTCGTCATGCCAACATATGTACGAAAAGTTATGACTGTTGAAGTGAAGAAACGCAAATGCTATTATTTCAGAAAATATGCACTAAAAATTCCGCACTTGTGTATATAACCTCATTTAGTACTTGGACTTCATTTTATCATTTTGGGAGCTAGGGATCTCAGATTGAGGCAATTTTCAAAGCGGTTTTCTTCTAAAATAACAGTGTAAGTGATTCTCACTCATATCATGATTATAACATGAAATCTATCATCAATTTTGCCTTAGAATCAATAATTCTAAGGAGAAAAAAAAAGGATTTTAACTTGAAAGTTAAGAAATTGTATTTTGGGGTTATATACATTGATTTGGACTAGAATTTAGAAACTAATCACATATTTGGACTCGTAAATAATGACATATGGCCCTGTTGGAGCCGGTCAAACAGGCTCCGTACTCATCCCTCCTGGTGGCTGGAATATAGTTCTCCAGAAAGATGTACGTAAACTGATCCCAAGTCAATGGAGGTGAACCTACCGGTCTACCTAGAAGATAAGCCTACCACCATTCACGGGCTTTTCCCCTTAGCTGAAAAAAAGGTAAAGTCCGTACCATTAGACTCCACTGGTCCCAAATTATACATCATGTCCTCGCAACGGTCAATAAAATCATAGTGCGGTCCGCAGCAAAATGTGCGACTGTAGAAGTTTATGCGCGGCCGCAGAATCCCTCCAACTGAAAGCACCTGTAAGAGCAACTTACCAAAGTGCGGACCGCAGATGTAATGGTGCGGCCGCAGAATCTTCCGAAGGGTGTTTTTGTCAACGAATTTCAAAGCACTATAAATAGATGAGGAACTCTTTTTTAGGACAACTTTTGTACTGTAGCAGCAACTAGCGGTTATATTTAGCCATTTTGGATAATTTGGAGCAACAATTAGAGAAGACCCATTATTTTTCCACTTTAATTCTAGTTTCATGTCTTCAATTACTTCTTCTTTTTATTTTTCCATATTAATGATTATGGGTCGTTAGATTTTATCTAAGGTTGTGATCTAACTCTAGTATGTAAAACTTATGGGTGTTTAATATTAGTGCTTGATATTGATTGGGTGGATGTTATTTACCCTTTTTTATGCTTTATACTTAGAATTAATGGTTGCAAACATTGATTCATGCCTATTTGACTTAGTTCTTACTTGAGAAAGAGGAATTTAGTCTAGAAAAATTTGGTTAACAAGAAATTGAACTAGTTGAAGTTTTGATTAGTTTAATTGAAGGATTTGAAGTAAAGATAGGGATCATCCAACTTGGATTCATATTAAATTGTTTAGATTACTATCCATTTGGTCTTGAGAAAGACAATTTGGGCATAATCACTCTTTAACCGAAAGGTATTGAGTGGGTACTTGAGCATTGAGAGTCATAACAAACCCCGATCTACCAAGCAAGTACAGATTTACTCTACCCATTAGGTTTACACCTAGATGAAGGTTGCAACCCTAAGCTTTTCCCTATTTGATAAAAATATCAAAAATATTTCAAACATTATTTGCTCATTAGTTAGTTAGATCTTTTAGAAGTTAATTTAAATATCAGTTACCCACTTTTGTTTGAAAGCTAACTTAGGTTATTTCGAGTTCTTTTCTTGAGTGTTACCTTAACACTAATTTAAACTCCCTGTGTATTACACCCCCGACTCGCGTTGGGTATTATTATTGTAACGATCGTTTCATACTTCTTGATTGGCTGTGAATTGGACGTAATCAATTTTTGGCGCCATAGCCGGAGAGTTTACAGTGTTAGCTATATACTTGAATTTGTTTCTTGAAGTATCTTCTTTTACTTTCGTGATTCTAATTTGTTGAAGTGATTGTTGGTTTCAAATGTCGAACAACGAACTTGAAAATTTGCCATTGGGAAAGGTGGATAGCGAAGAGGATCAACTTGATGAAATGCCTCAAGCTCTACAACAAAACCGTCGATGCCATGGCAGCAAGATAATGCGCCTTCACCTCCACCACCACCACAACCACAAGAGGCTCAACATCAGATTTTGCACAATGAAGGTTATGCAAGTGCCATAGCCCCCCCTCGCATTAGGGCGGGAAAATTTTAAATTACCAATGTGATGCTTACCTTGCTCGAGAATCGAGGTTATTTCACTGGGGCACCGAGTCAAAATGCTTACAAGCATTTGGAAGATTTTGTGGATACGTGTTGGGGAAGCAAACAAACAAATGTTTCGGAAGATTCTTTGCGGTTAAGGCTTTTTCCCTTCTCACTAAGGGGTAAGGCTTTGGATTGGTTGGAACGCTTGACTAATCATTCTATCGATACTTGGGATGAATTAGCGGCGAAGTTTATTTCAAAGTTCTTCTCTCCTCAGGCACATGGCTACTCTACGGGATAAAATATTGGCTTTCAAGCAAGATCCCAATGAACCTTTGCATGAAATTTGGGAGCGGAATTGGACAAAGGTGAAGGATTGCCCGAATAATGATATGACCGACAACTTGATCCAACAAACTTTCTACCGTGGTATAAATACTACGAATCAATGTGTGGTCCATAAATTGGCCGGAAAATTTTTATGACAACACCTTATGAGAAGGCATGTGAGATTCTTGATAAGATGGTGAAAACTTCTTCGGTTTTGGCATTCTCGAACTAATGCTCCCCAAGGTAATCCCAACATGATCCATCTTCATAAAGACTTTCAAGACCATGCGAAAGATATTGCCGAATTGACCACAACCATGACTCAACTTGTCAAGGCTCAACTTCATCAAACCCAACCTCCTAATCAAGTTCATGCTATGGAGGGAGTGAATGTCTTGGCCAACAAGAAGAGGACTAAAGGTCCACAATTTCATCCGAGTGGAGAATTATACACATGGTGATGGTAGCTATGAGCAATATGACTATTATCAAGAGCAAGAAGAAGAGGTACAATATGTGAATAATTACCAAGGTAAACAGAGCAATTTTAAAGGCTCCAATCAATGGCGTGCTCAAAATAACCAAGGCAATTGGGGTTCTAACAATCAAGGGAATTGGCATAACAACAATAATAACCAAGGGAAGTTGGGAGGCAACAATCAAGAAAATTGGGGAAACAATAATAATCATGCAAATCAAGGTTCGGGTTTTCAAAGGCCCCCAATGTACCAACAACTGAGAATTCCACCTCCTTATCCTTCCCACGGTTCAAGTTCTTCAAACAATGAAATGGGCTGTATTGAGAACATGTTCGAGCAAATGATGGAAAAGAATGCGGATTCAGATACCCAACTTGCCTCACATACCACATCAATCCGTAATTTTAAAATTCAAATGGCGAAAATCTCTTAAGCTCTTAATACTCGTCCTAAGGGTTCATTACCAAGTGACACGGTAGTGAACCCAAAGGGTGGTAACAAGATTGGGCATGCTATGGCGGTTATCACACGAAGTGAAAGAGGCGGGGATGCACCCACCTTAAATAAAAGGCAACTTAGGGATGGTGGCCAAATGATCCAAGAGAAGGAAATCCCCCGAAATGATGTTCAAGTACATGCTGATATTCAGATTGATATTGATGATAGCATGGACGAGACCCATGAAGAGGTGAACCCATCTAGGCAACACATTATTGACATACCGGAACCAGTAGTGCAAAAGGCTAAGGCACCCTTGTCAAAGCCTCCACCTCCCTACCCTCAAAGGCTTGCTAAGCAAAATGGTGAGAATAAATTCAAAAAGTTTATTCAAATGATGAAAGGTCTCTCTATCAATGTGCTATTGGTGGAAGCTTTGGAACAAATGCCCGGTTATGCCAAGTTTATGATTGATCTCATGACCAAGAAAAGGTCGATGAATTTTGAAACAATCATGGTCACTCATCAAGTTAGTGGAATTTTTCATTCCATGGCTCCTAATTTGGAGGATCCCGGGGTGAAGAGGCCATTGGGGGTCTTAGGGATATTCGGGGTATAAGCCCCGCATTTTGCATGCATAAGTGATGTCGCCCAAACTCATAACACTAA